GGGCGCTGCCGCCCGCCCTCGCCGCCGGCGCCCCCAGCAGGGTGTGCTCCCTCCGGGCCGGGGGTAGGCGAAGCACCATGGTGGAGAAGCGGTGCCCGCGGCTGCAGCGGGACGGCGTCTACCGCTGGTTCTCCGAGCTGCCCTCCCCGCAGCGCGTGGAGTTCCTCTGCGGCCTCCTGGACCTCTGCATCCCGCTGGAGCTGCGCTTCCTGGGCGCCTGCCTGGAGGACCTGGCCCGCAAGGACTACCACTCCCTGCGCGACTCCGAAATCAAGGCCAACAACCCCGCCGACCTGGGGAGCCTCACCAACCTGACGGACGAGGTGGTCCGCAGCAAACTTTTGGTCTCCCTCGCCCTGCTCGGCTCTGCCCACCGAGAGGCGGCCGGGGTCCTCTTCCGTACCCTCACCCACATCGATTCGGTCATCAACAACTATGGGCTACAACTCAACGAGGGCCGCACCGGGGATGAGTTCCTGTTGCTCTTCACGATGGCATCCAACCACCCTGCTTTCAGCTTCCACCAGAAACAGGTGCTGAGGCAAGAGCTCACCCAGATCCAGAACATCATGGCCAGCACCAGCAAGAATCCCAGCACCTCTACCCTCAACACCATGGCAACCTATCCTGGCTGCCATAAGGTGGGTATCCTGCTTTTGCACACCGTAATGGCACTGCTGCAGGGCACCGGCCTGTGTCTTCACCTCTGATTTTAAACCTTTCTTTTAATACGGGCATTCTAGTGATAAATGGCAGCCTAAGAGACTGGCACAGATCACCTGCTCGGTTGATGACGGGGGTGGTCAACTGAGGGCGAAAAGAGGGGATGCATGGAGTTTTTATGGGCTTGTGACACTTAAATGAGAAGGGGTTCACAAGCTGATCACCAGGCAGCAGTATAAACCTTAACTGATTGCTTCTGGCAGTATATCTGCTGAGGGGACAGTCCTGCCAGTTGCATGGAAGACCAGTGATTTGGTAGGGGAAACAAACATGTAATATCTCTAGATTCGGGAACAAGCATCTATTTAGAAGTTTCCCTGGAAGAAGCTGGAAAGGAGGATCAGCTTTGGGAGTAGCTGTCCAGTGGCAAAGGCATCTTGGTGAGTCTGGGTTTTGTTTAGACGAATGTGATGGCAAACATTTTGAGTTTCTGATACTAAACTTAAAGAAATGTTGTGGCTGCCGGTCACCCTGAATCTCTCAGGTATTGATCCTGGTGTCAGTGGTTCACCGTCATTAACTTGCTGTTTGTTCATTCAATTGCCAGCAATCAAGCTAGACAGTAACATTTTAAGACGTGCTGTTAGTAATTAGATATGTTACTGACTGCTTAAGTGCTCTTAGCCTGCTGCAAACTAGGGAGTCAAACTGTATTCTTGACTGAATTTAACCTGCTTTAAAGTTGAAAGTAAGTACCAGCTAAGTGGGTGCATGTGATCAGTTAACAGGCTGTAGCTTTTGAGGATGCAGGACTCAGTCAGCAAATTTATGTTACCCTTCTGTTGGGAAAGACGGTGTATACCTAAAGGCTATGAAAATCCCTATATTGGAGTAGTATCCTAAATAAAGCTGCTTCTGAGGGCTCAGTGCAGATTCCATGAAGTTGAATTTCAGACTGAGACAGAATGTATGCTTGGTCTTCCCCTGAATACAAATTCCCTTCCTATTTCGTTTCTTTGAATACTGCTGCTTTAATTGTAAAATTTAGGTGAGTATTAGTAAACTTCATATTTCTCTTAATCTTCCCTTCCTATGGCTTTAAACAGTGCTTGTTCCTGACATTTTCTTTTAAGGGGAAAGAACAGGGTATGGGAATGCCTCTTTGAGTTTAAACCTCTACGTGAATAAAATATAGATGGAAAGAGTATTTCACACAGAATGTAGAAGGGTATAATTAAAACCAGAAAAAGCTTCCTTTCAGATACTTAACTACTTGCAACTTCCCTTATTCAAAAGATGCATGGACCCTAAGTTGGAAAGGAAAGACTGTAAATCATATACAAGTTTTCCCAAAATAAGATGAGCAAAAAAAGATAAAACTATGCAGGCAGGAGCATTTTTTAGAGTATGCTTTCAGAGCTTCACAAACAGTGCACGATTTATGTAGCTGAAAAACTCCGGCACTATTTATGTCAATCTAAGATGGACGGAGAATCCATCCTACCATTTTTCGTGCCAGCAATAAGGCATACAGGACAGTAATTTGATTGTTTGTTTGTTTTTTTTTTTCTTCTGGACTCATTGAAGGGTTGTCTCTTTAAAAATACATTATTTTTTTTTTAAGAAATTGATGTTGAAGAATACTGGTTGCTAAGTACAGAATAGTTGGCAGGAAACAAAGGTGACTTTGCTTTCATAGTCTCTGGAATATGCATTTTGTTTAGAAAAGGAGATCTGCATCTGTTCAAGATTGTTAAATTTTTTTGATGTTGATAGCTGGGTAATTTTGCTACTTTTAGAGTAAGCAGTTGGCTTAAAACAGGAGTTGGACGAAGCAAGTGGAAAAAACAATGTCTTTCTCCATTCAGTCCCGTTTAAATATGCACAAATAAATTCCAGCACTGTGGACTTAGATCTTGTGATGTTACCAAGTTATGTTGTGACAATACTTGTGTTGTAACATCACCTAGAAAAAAAACAATGCAGATGTCAAGAGAAAGTGAGCTGCGCTGGGCTGCTGCCTGCCAAGAGTCCTGCACTCTTCGTCCCCTCCAGAATTGGAGGAGAATTTCTTCCCCAGAGCCAGCACTTTCTCATCACTCTTATTGCTTTACTACAGCTTGAGCTACGCTGAGCTGGTACTAAGTCAACGCTGCGTGTTAAATTGTATGAATGCTGCTCCTAAATTCTCAAGCGCAAACCTCTTTGAGCTCATCCTTAGAAAATGAGCTGGAGAAGTGGTCGCCGTTTGAGGTCCTGAGAAACTTTTGGAAGCTGGAATGGAGTGGATGTGTAATGGCATGCAAATAGGGAGCTCTTTGTGAACAGGGCTAGTTATCCTTCAGCGTTTCCCTTGTCCTGAGTGTGGGAATAGGGACTAACACTTGTGTGACTACCTGTTTTTCTGTATAACTAGGGGTCCGTTGCAATTCCTGATGATTTACATTTAACTTCTTTATTCAGGGAGATGCAATAAAGGAGGTTGGACAGTGCTCTTTGTTCTCTTTGCAGAAACAAATGGAAATGCGCTGCTTCTGTGTAGTCAGTCCTATTAAAATATGACCCAACTTGATATTAGCTACAGCTTTTTTCCAGAGGATTGGAGCTTGCAATCCTCTTTCCATCTCCTACCTCTTTCACATCTTACAGCGAAATCTCTCAAAAATAAATTGTGTATAACGGTGAAGAGACTGAACAGGCGATACAAAATTACTGTAAACATTTCATGATTCTTCAAGTTGCTTTGGGATAGGTGAACACATTTAAAGTTCATTAGTGATGCAAACCGCTGCTGTTGTCTTTTACTGTCTGCTGCAACTGCTGACTACAAGGAGGCTCAAAACAGCTGCCCATATATTTTTGCTTTAATTCGTGCTTTTTGAGATTATTCTTGGATTATATGAATCTTAACTTTACAGGAAAAGGTGGCTATGGCGGCTTTAAGTAGGTCAGTAATTATTAGATTCATGGTTTCTACTTGATAGTACAAAATGAACATTAAGTTTCCTTGCTCTGAGTAGGGAGAACGCTGCCCCCTCTGCAGCAGAGTATAGCTTTAGTCTCTGTAAAGATGATCATTTCTGCCCCTTGTCTTGTCCTGTATTTTCTTCTGGTTTTGAATGACACCAACGCTTGCAGGACTTGAGCTGTGGAGTCTTCACACTTCTTGCTTGTAGGTGTGGTTGTATAGTTGTTAAAAATTTAAACAGTGCAGATTGTCTTCAAATGAAGCCCAGTCTTCAAATGAAGCCCAGGCATATATCTAAAACTTTTAACTTTAAAAACTTTTGATCCTGGGATTAACCGTAATGGGCTTATTTTTAACTGGAAATGATGCAACTGAGTTTTTAGGCTGGTTTTGTGCCTTAAGATGCCTATTGAGCTGTCTTTTATACGTTTGCCACAAAGGAGGTAGAATGGTTTGCTGGCCAGCACTTAGAGCCTAGCATCTGAAGGCTCATTTCTGTGCTGATGGGTAGTGCTTAGAGCTGCAAACTACTGCTCTCTCCATAGAGCGAGGTGGAGCTGGGAGCACCAGGGCACATGAAAACCAGGAGCCAAATGTCTCCTGCTGTGCATGTACAAATCCGGGGGTGTTGATAGGCAAATTGCCGCTGCTGAATTTGTGACCCACAGAGAAGGGAGAAATGTCTCAAAACTGTCTCCCAACATCTTGAACCACCCATTCAGACTTCTACTGTGTACGACTTGTGAGAACAAACATCTTTTTTTTTTTTTTTTTTTAGCTATAGGTGAAAACTTAATGTTTTTATTTGTTCTTGGTTGCTTTGAGGCTGTAGTGATGCTGTCTTTGTGTTTTGTAGATAATGACGTACCAGGACCTACTTGGATACTGGCACTCATATGTATTCATATTCATAATAATACGAATCTCTGCATGGGCTAACTTTTTCTCTCAAGAAGTCTACATGTGTTAGTAACACTGAGGACATAACTTCCAGAACTAGAGGAGAAGTTATTAATGAATCTGTCACCTTGTATTTCTTGGAGTTGTTTCATCGACTCATTGAGATAATTCTGTAAAAACAAGGAAATAAGATGCTGCTTTGGCTACTTAGGGCCTGCTCTGCTAGCTGACTGACAAGAGCTCTTCAGTGCAGTTGGTGCAGTGATCTAGTTGTGGCTTCAGCTGCAGAACCAGGGTCATAAATAGCAGGTGTGACTACAGTTTGTTTGCAGCTGAAAAGAAATAAGTCAGTGACACTGTAGTTATGTGGCTGTTTCAGGCTGATATCTTGTGAATGGGAAAAAGGGCTCTTGCCTAGTCAGCTTCCAAATACTGCACCAATGGCTATTTCAAGTTTATAGCATAAGATGCTATTTTTCACCCGTGCTAATTCCATAGGCTCATCTAAAACTTAGAAATAACTAAAGACTATGTATTGGGAGCTGTGTAGAGCTGATGTTCCTAGGGGTCCATTTCAAGTACCTTCACCTTTCTGTACTGTTTGCTACAGGTGATTGAAGTTACATACAGCATCTCTGGAAATATTCAGAGGTTTTTATTTCATATGTGGAAGGATGAGTTGGAAAAAAACTATTACTTGTTGGGTTGAAACTGAGTCCCTAAGTCCTCACAGAGCAAGCAATCTAGCTGTTAAGTGATCTGTGTCAGCTGCCTTTATGGCTTTTATGCTAGCGTAGTAGGGATAGAATAAATCACGAAACCCCTAATTTTTAGCCTCCTAACCCACTGAAGGTGTTTCATAGCTTTAGTAGATCACCATGTTAATAGCAGTTGTTAGCTAGGATTAGAGATGTTTACTCACTGATATCAGTAGTTGCTGTCACAGGAATGATCTCATTTTCAAAAACACATGAAACTAACCTTGGGAGCTGTAGGGGCAGGTCTTGTAGCTTCCAGCTGGTGACACGTGCCAATCTTTGCGTGTCTTTTTAGTATTCTGGGTACTTGAGGCTACACAGATTACGCACACCTCTTGGTGTTCCAGTTAAG